AAAAAGATGACAACAGAGTTGGTCAAAGTTTATGAACATTTCTGCAGGAAAACCCTAAATTCATCTCCATGTTTTCTCCATGTTCAAACTTCTGCAGTGAAACTGTTTCTATGACGACGTAATGTTGATTAAAGCTGCAGCGGCGCTTCTGATGTTGGCGTCCTTCCTGTTTTCAGATGAACCTCTGATCCGCTAGAAGCTGGAGGGTTGATCACATCCGGCTGATCAAAGGCGGAGCTTCCCCTGCAGGAGCCTTTTATCCAGGTGACCTGGGGGCTGCCACCAGGTGAAGCCCACCTGTCCCTGGATCAGGCTGGGTTTAGGTTCTGATGGCGTCGCTGGTTAAAGGAATTTCCTTGAAGTTTCATTTCTACAGAACATGACAGGAGGAAGTTCAAAGTGCTGCACATGCAAGGAAAACTACACTGCAGGAGCATGAAGGCCATTAAAGACATAAAACGATTAGAAAATCAAAGGCAGGTTGGACTGAAAACTTTAATAATGTTTCCATTAAATAAAAGTTTAATCTGGAATAAAACAAACTGACCTGAAATGGTTCCCAGAACTTAACTAGAAGCTGCTTCTGGTTCTGATCCAGTAGACCTGAGAGGTCCGGCTGTCTGATCTACTTTCTATAGTTCTAGTGAGGATGCAGGCAGCAGCATGTGGATCAGCTGCAGCTGTCTGATCTACTTTCTATAGTTCTAGTGAGGATGCAACACTGATGGATTAAATCATTTCTCATCCAGTGATGATATTGTGGGCGGAGCCCTGATGATGAGAACATCTAGCTCCGCCCCCACAGCTCAGGGAAAATCCTCCTGCATCATTATTGATTTGAAATCACTAAGTTTATTCTGCTCATGGGGATCAACCTGCTGAATTCTGGTCTGTACAGCATCTGTGTTCGTAGCTCTATAGAAGCTGAGCTATAGCAGGGAATCAGTGTGAGCGTCACAGAGCGGCTCTGCATCAATAAACGCAGTTATTACTCACCGTGGGACCAATGAAGCTCATTTCATGTTTTTCTGAACCGCCCTGATAAAATCAGACCTGATTTTCATCCATAAAAACTCATTTAAACGCAGCGATTGCAGGTCGCTGGAGGCTGCTGTGGAGATGAGGAACTTTAATCACATCCTGAGGCCTGATCATCAAAAACTCAGGGAATAAATTCACCTTAATGTCCTCTCCTGGTTCCCATCAGCAGCAAACTGGTCAGACGCGTCAACGTCGACTGGAAGCTGCAGAGCGAGACTTATTTCCTGAACCAGACCTTCTGGCAGGTCTGGGGTCTGGGTGGGGGGGGGTGCTGCTGGTGCCGGGGCTGGGGGGGTTGGTGCAGGTGGGCTCTCCTCATCCTCAGCAGGAAGTCCAAGCGCTTCTGGACCCTTTGGACCAATGAGGTGGCGTTTCCAGTCCAGGTGAGGGTCTGTGATGAATGTAGGTCAGTGTTTCTGACCAATGCAGTGGAGACATCGACACTTAGATGCCTTTGAAGAGGAGTTTTTAAAGCATCCTTTCTGTCTAAACATTTGTTAATAACTCGTCTGAAACGGACCCAGAACTGCATAAAGTCATCTTTAATCTGATAAACAGTTCCTTAAAAATGTCATATTGTTATTATTAGAAAAGCAGGGATCAGACAGCCCCCCCCCCATCATTGTCTCTGTGTTAGAAGGATTATTTTAGCAGGAATCAGCAGCAGCTTGAAGTCAGGAAGCCTGGAAATAAAACAAATGAAAGAAACAAGCAAAGTTCAAAAAGAGCTTTAAATGTAATAAAGAGACGAGCTGCAGTTTTCCTCTGTTGTTTGCAGCTTTTTAATTTCATTTCAGGCTCCAGCGCCTGATGAGTTTAGTGATTATTAATCTCCAGCGGTTCCTCCTGCTCTGCTGGAGCTCCTTGAATTCTCCTTATTGCTGTTTAATGGAGACGGTCCCCTAACAAATGATCCGCCTCGGCCCGGATCAGCGCCGCTCGGCTCATTAATCCAGCTCAGAGGCAGCGGGGCTGCTAATGTTTCCCACCTCACCGCCTCATGATGCTCCTACAGGACAGGAGGTGAGGGGGGGCGGGAATGAGCTGCAAACACTGCAGAACTCAGATGGTTGCCATGGAGAAGGATGCTGAGGATGAAAAGGCTTTAAAGTCGCTTCTGTTTGGTTCAGAGATCCTTTCCAGGAGATCTCACCTCCTGACATTTTTATTTATCATCAATTTGAAGAAGAAAGACAAGAATTCACTGGTTGGACTGGTTTATGATGGTTTATGATGTGTCAATGGAAGCAGTGGTGATCCAAGATGGCTGCTCCCAGAGAAGGATGACATCATCAAAGAAGAGTTCAGTTCTTTCTGTAGCTTCAATTCACATTATTTCAACTCAGGTCACTTTCCAAAATAATAAAAGTCTTTTATGTAAAGAAAACCAGTTAATTCCATCGACTTGTTGACTCGAGAATCTCGTTCTTTCAGTCATGA